GTGTGTGTGTGTGCGTGTGCGTGTGTGTGTGTGTGTGTGTGTGTGTGTGTGAGTGTGAGTGTGTGAGTGTGAGTGTGAGTGTGAGGTGTGTGTGTGGTGTGTGTGTGCGTGAGTTAGATGGTTGTAAGGCTGTGTGTGTGTAATAATAGCCGCTTGTATTGACGCCGCACACGCTCAGATGACGGAGCGCAGACAGCTGCAGATCCTGGCACTGCATGAAACACACACACACACACACAGGTGCGGTTTATCCGGGTCCCTGCGGCCCTGTGTGTGTGGGATAGACGGGCCCCGGCTCTCTGTGTGTCTAAACATGGTGTGGAAAGCTGCTGCTGTCACATGTTTTGTTCGGGGACGACTCTCTCGCTCCTGATTTGCCTTCGTTCAGATTTATCTCGCTTCACGACCAGTTCATAAACCGTATGATTTACTGCCTCATATGTTTACTGTAGTTATGAGGAATTCAGTTAGTCAGTAGAGTACAGTAAGATTTCCACTTTACTACAGATATCAATATATCTCAACAAATGTACTGAATGCTTGTGCATGAGTTATGATTTATTCTACAGTTTTGTTTAAATGATCACTTGTTTTTGATTCATTTATTTGTGAATGTGTTATAGTTGAATTCAGATATGACTGTAGTTTCTATTGATATTTAATTTTTTTTATTTTATATTTTCCATTTTTTCATTTTAGTTGTAATTACTTTAGGATCAAGTGAAACTAAATGTTGCCTTGGCAACTAGCTGATTATTCACTTTATAATTAAAGTTTGTTATTATACATTTTACTTTATTTCAATTAATGTAAATTTGATTTAAAGTAACAAAAACTTTTTGAATGGTTTTAGTTTTTATTTTAGTTTCAGTTAATCATAAGAAGCCTGTTGTGAACACAGTGTAAAAGTAAAAACAAATAAATAAAAGAATCCTTTGAGAAAGTTTATTTATTTATTTGTTTGTTTATTGATTTATAGCTGTGGCTCTGCATGTTAGAAAACAAATATATTAATATGAAAATGTATTTATTTTTTGTTTTGTTTATTTATTTAATTCCAAAACAGCAAGATTTCTTTATAGCTTCTTTTGGTCGTACACTTGATTTATTGGCATGTATGTCTTTAAATATTTTCATTCATTTTCTTTCACTTTTAGCTATTTTAGTAGATCAAAACGAAATAAGAAATGTTGCTTTGGAAACTTTCGGGTTTTATATATATATATATAGTCTCTATAATTGGTTTTGGTGTTATAAGTATTTATATTGTATATGTACGTTGTTGCAGGTGTGTTTTTTTATTTTAATATAAAATTGATATTATATGATTCCATATTTATATACTATAAATATTTTGATATTTATTATAGCCAGTTCTTGTTTGACTGTAAGTTGTTCTGGAGTCGTTTGACTGCTGAGAGCCTGTAAAGGTCAAACCAGATTTGGGCTGTAAGCGTAGGCAGATTTGTGGATCGTAAAGTTGCTTGTATGTTTGATTATTGAACATTAGATGTGTTGAGATATTTCTGCTGTGTTTTGAGCTCAGAGAGCCGTGTGTGTGCTGATGGATGAAGAGTCTGACTCCTGTGTGAACTCACTGAGCTCAGAGATCTGTGTGTGTGTGTCTGCTAGATTTACTCCCTACACCTGGAGAACTCAACAACTTGATCCCCCTCTCTCTCTCTCTCTCTCTCTCTCTCTCTCTCTCTGCTCTAGTCATTCACTGAGACATCAATGCATGTTTATTTATTGATTTATTAGACTCTAGAAATAAGCATCACACAATTCATAGGAGGCCTAAATCTATTTATTTTAAAATTTAAAATTTAAAGTTTATTTATTTTATATTTTTTTATTTAATTTAATTTTGTTTTGTTTATTTTTTATTGACTCCAAAACTCCTGTTTCTGCTGATCTCAGCCACTTACAGAAACTTATAAGTGTGTGTGTGTGTGAGAGAGAGAGATGGTTTCAGGTTTCTGTGTGACCTTGCCGGTTTATCGTCACTGATCTCCAGTGTTTGTTGCTTTAGTGTGATGGACTGAAGTGTTTCTGAATGTTCAATCGTGTGTGTGTGTGTGTGTGTGTGTGTGTGTGTGTGTGTGTGTGTGATTAACATCAGTGGCGCTGTTCTGTGTCTCAGTGAAGCTGAAGTTATGTTCATGTGAGGAGGTTTATATTGAGTTTGAGCTGTTTACTAAAGATCATCTCGACTCAGAGGAGTGTATTTATCTCAGGACGGTTTGTTTTTCAGTTTTAATGTGTTTATAAGCTTGATCAATTATTGTACATCCATATAGCCAAAGCACTTGTATATGATGCAGAACAACAGTAGCACAAAACAAGAAGAAATATATATGAAGTGTCAAAATAAAAATAAAGTTAGAAATATAGATTAAAAAAAGATAATTAGTTAAGGTAAAAAACCTTTTGTAAGTATTTTTAAAATACATTTTAAAATAAATATCTGTTGAAAAAATGTATAAATTAATCAATCAAAATAATAAATTAACTGCATAAATAAGGTGATATAATAATTATAAGAGCAGCAGTAAATTTGATGAAAAATGAAAGCAAAAACTTAGTTAATAATAAAAATGTATTATAAATGAATGAATGAATAAAGAAAGATTACCTGCTTAAACAAAGTGATGATAACTAACAAGAGCAGCAATGAATTTGATATTAACTGAAGGTAAAAACTTAATTAAAAGCACAAAAATAAATATTTGAATAAAAACGATAATGCTAATAATAAGAGCAGCAGATCTGTCAAACAGTTTTGTTTTCGTCTTAACAGTGACCTTTCATTGTTTTCAGTTTGGTTTGAAGATCTCCGCTCACTCTCAGGGTTAGACAGTTTTATCTGTTTATTATCATTTCTTTGAGATTTATGAGAGGAGAAGCATCTACTGACCGGAAAACAAGACTTTAAACATGAAGAAAGAACTGATGGAGTGGCATGAGAAAGAAAAAAAGATACAGAAAGACTAGATCTCTGTTAAAATATAGAGGAATCTATGGTATTTCGATGTAAATTCATCTGTTATTTCTTTTAATACTGATATAATATTTGTTTAAGGTGTTTAATCTGTCAAGAGGTTGAGATTGGCAGTTTATCTTCACATGAATGTACTGAATATATGTGGTATATGTGGAAATGCTTATATATCCAACTTTATACATTGAGCTGTGATAATATAGATGTATTTTGCACAGCAATAAGGCAGTTGAGATTTGATGCACAGTATGTATGGTTTATAAGAGGTCAGTTTTCTGTGTGCAGATCATCATCTGCTGTTGTGTGGTGCTTTTGCTGGTCTGTAGTTAAATGTGAATGCGATCGTGACTCGAGGGGCGAATCTTCAAAGCGTCTCTGCTCACGTTCGCTGCCGGCGACAAGAGTCTGTCTCAGTATTTCTGATAATCTTGTCAAGGCCGACAGCATCTGCGGCTTTATCTCCTTGGCAGCTGTGATATCAGAGCGGTATGAGCTGTTCTTCACACACACACACACACACACACACACAGGTTTGTTTTTGTGAAAAGTGGGGACTCTCCATAGGCGTAATGGTTTTTATACTGTACAGACCGTATATTCTATTGCCCTACACCAACCCTACCCCTAAACCTACCCCTCACAGGAGACTTTGTGCTATTTCAGATTTTCAATACACTCCATTCTGTGTGATTTATAAGCGTTTTGAAAAGTGGGGACATGGGGTAATGTCCTGAAAAGTCACCTTCTCCTTGTAATACCTGTCATACCTTTGTCATTATACACATTTATGTCCTCATTTGTCACAAAAACGCGCGCACACACACACACACACACACACACAGTGACTCACTGACATTAACACACACAAACACAAACACACACACACACACGTGCAGTGACTCACTGACATTGATCACGATGTGTGGCAGTGAGGTTGGTAACTGATGTGGTCTGATTCTGTAAAAACCATTTCAGCTTCGTTATGGAAAGATTGTGTTTAATTTCTGGAGAAGAACTACACTACCCATAATCCCATGTTCTGGCTGATTTATCTCCTTTAGGACTCTTGTATTTTGTAGTATTTTAACGTGAATCTGTGTTCTTGCAGCGAATGTGCTGGAAAGCTTGTTACAGAGGAATTCTGGGAAGTTGGCGGCAGGCGGCGGTAAGGAGAGCAGCGGCAGCGCCACACCGCTGATTCCAGAGAGGATGTTATTGTGTCACTGTTATCATCACTGTCCTGAAGACTCCACCAACAACACCTGCAGGTACACACACACACACTATTATTATTATTATAGATCTGGTTTTAGAGGTCATATAGTCTGTAGTTTTACCCAGTGCTCATCTTAACATTCTGATGATGATGATGATGATGATGATGATGATGATGATGCAGGACTGATGGTTACTGCTTCACTATGGTGGAGGAAGAAGAGGGCGGCTCTCCGTTGCTCACGTCCGGCTGTCTGGGGTTGGTGGGCTCAGAGTTTCAGTGCAGGGTGAGTTTCTTGTCTGTCTGATTGTCTGTCTCTCTGTCTGTGTCTGTCTGTCTCTGTCTGATTGTCTGACACTGTCTCGCTGTCTGTGTCTGTCTGTCTCTCTGTCTGTCGCACACACACACACACACACACACACAGTGACTCACTGACATTAACACACACAAACACAAACACACACACACACACGTGCAGTGACTCACTGACATTGATCACGATGTGTGGCAGTGAGGTTGGTAACTGATGTGGTCTGATTCTGTAAAAACCATTTCAGCTTCGTTATGGAAAGATTGTGTTTAATTTCTGGAGAAGAACTACACTACCCATAATCCCATGTTCTGGCTGATTTATCTCCTTTAGGACTCTTGTATTTTGTAGTATTTTAACGTGAATCTGTGTTCTTGCAGCGAATGTGCTGGAAAGCTTGTTACAGAGGAATTCTGGGAAGTTGGCGGCAGGCGGCGGTAAGGAGAGCAGCGGCAGCGCCACACCGCTGATTCCAGAGAGGATGTTATTGTGTCACTGTTATCATCACTGTCCTGAAGACTCCACCAACAACACCTGCAGGTACACACACACACACTATTATTATTATTATAGATCTGGTTTTAGAGGTCATATAGTCTGTAGTTTTACCCAGTGCTCATCTTAACATTCTGATGATGATGATGATGATGATGATGATGATGATGATGATGCAGGACTGATGGTTACTGCTTCACTATGGTGGAGGAAGAAGAGGGCGGCTCTCCGTTGCTCACGTCCGGCTGTCTGGGGTTGGTGGGCTCAGAGTTTCAGTGCAGGGTGAGTTTCTTGTCTGTCTGATTGTCTGTCTCTCTGTCTGTGTCTGTCTGTCTCTGTCTGATTGTCTGACACTGTCTCGCTGTCTGTGTCTGTCTGTCTCTCTGTCTGTCTCTCTGTCTGTCGGTCTCTGTCTGATTGTCTGTCTCTCTGTCTGACTCTGTCTGATTGTCTGACACTGTCTCGCTGTCTGTGTCTGTCTGTCTCTCTGTCTGTCTCTCTGTCTGTCGGTCTCTGTCACACACACACACACACACACACACAGTGACTCACTGACATTAACACACACAAACACAAACACACACACACACACGTGCAGTGACTCACTGACATTGATCACGATGTGTGGCAGTGAGGTTGGTAACTGATGTGGTCTGATTCTGTAAAAACCATTTCAGCTTCGTTATGGAAAGATTGTGTTTAATTTCTGGAGAAGAACTACACTACCCATAATCCCATGTTCTGGCTGATTTATCTCCTTTAGGACTCTTGTATTTTGTAGTATTTTAACGTGAATCTGTGTTCTTGCAGCGAATGTGCTGGAAAGCTTGTTACAGAGGAATTCTGGGAAGTTGGCGGCAGGCGGCGGTAAGGAGAGCAGCGGCAGCGCCACACCGCTGATTCCAGAGAGGATGTTATTGTGTCACTGTTATCATCACTGTCCTGAAGACTCCACCAACAACACCTGCAGGTACACACACACACACTATTATTATTATTATAGATCTGGTTTTAGAGGTCATATAGTCTGTAGTTTTACCCAGTGCTCATCTTAACATTCTGATGATGATGATGATGATGATGATGATGATGATGATGCAGGACTGATGGTTACTGCTTCACTATGGTGGAGGAAGAAGAGGGCGGCTCTCCGTTGCTCACGTCCGGCTGTCTGGGGTTGGTGGGCTCAGAGTTTCAGTGCAGGGTGAGTTTCTTGTCTGTCTGATTGTCTGTCTCTCTGTCTGTCTCTGTCTGATTGTCTGACACTGTCTCGCTGTCTGTGTCTGTCTGTCTCTCTGTCTGTCGGTCTCTGTCTGATTGTCTGTCTCTCTGTCTGTCTCTGTCTGATTGTCTGACACTGTCTCGCTGTCTGTGTCTGTCTGTCTCTCTGTCTGTCGGTCTCTGTCTGATTGTCTGTCTCTCTGTCTGACTCTGTCTGATTGTCTGACACTGTCTCGCTGTCTGTGTGTGTCTGTCTGTCTGTCTCTGTCTCTCTGTCTGTCTCTGTCTGATTATCTGTCTCTCTGTCTGTCTGTCTCTCTCTGTCTGATTGTCTGACACTGTCTCGCTGTCTGTGTCTGTCTGACTGACTGTCTGTCTGATTGTCTGTCTCTGTGTGTGTGTGTCTGTCTGTCTGTCTGTCTGACTGATTGTCTGTCTCTGTCTGTGTGTGTGTGTTTCTGTCTCTCTGTCTGTCTGTCTGTCTGTCTGTGTGTGTGTGTCTGTCTCTCTGTGTCTGTCTGACGGACTGTCTGTCTGATTGTCTGTCTCTGTGTGTGTGTGTCTGTCTGTCTGTCTGATTGTCTGTCTCTGTCTGTGTGTGTGTTTCTGTCTCTCTGTCTGTCTGTCTGTCTGTGTGTGTGTGTGTCTGTCTCTCTGTCTGTCTGTCTGTCTGTGTGTGTGTGTGTCTGTCTCTCTGTCTGTCTGTCTGTCTGTGTGTGTGTGTGTCTGTCTCTCTGTCTGTCTGTCTGTCTGTGTGTGTGTGTGTCTGTCTCTCTGTCTGTCTGTCTGTGTGAGTGTGTGTGTCTGTCTGTCTATCTGTCTGCCTGTCTCCGTCTGTCTGACTGACTGACTGTCTGTCTCTGTGTCTGTCTGTCTCTGTCTCTCTGTCTGATATGAACACCTGCTCTCTTCCCATCAGGACACTGGGAACGCTCGACTGAGGAGGATCCTGGAATGCTGCACAGATCAGGATTTCTGTAACCGAGACCTCCATCCGACACTGCCTCCACTCAAGAGACCCGGTGAGACGCAGCAGCATTCATAAAACCACAGCAAACATAACAACATCACACAGACGGCCCAACAATTACACGACACAACCAATCACACGCTTGACTGAGACTGAAATGTTTCTCATGATCTGAAAGCTTAAATTGAATTTTTAGACAAATATACATGATAAATTGCATGTATACATACACATTTCTCTGTAAAACAATTCTTCATGCTAAAATTACATGATCAGAATTCGTCACACACACACACAGTCTCTGACCTGATGGTTTCTGACAGGTTAAAGTGTTACAAACCGCAGCTTTTTGGCTGCAGGGGCTGCTGGGATTGCGCTGCAGCGGGCGTGTGTTCCCTACTGCTCTAATGAAAAGGACACGCCATCTCACGGGAGTGCTTCAGTTTCCTGATAGCTGTCCGTCTGTGACACCTCAGACCTCAGAGAGTGAGTGTGTGTGTGTGAGCGTGAGAGTGTGTACATGTGTGATGTGTGTGAGTGCGCATGAGTGTGTGCACATGTGTGTGTGTGTGCGTGCGTGTGTGTGTGTGTGTGTGTGTGTAAGGTTAGAGTCCCAACGAGCCGTGTCCTGCGTTGTGCTCTCACCGGTGTCGTCCGTCAGAAACTGGAGCGCAGCGCTGCAGGAAGATGATGATCGATTACGACTCAGTATCCCTGCTGAACACACACTGATCTGAGAACAGAACGACAGAACGAGAAACATGATTTTCCTCAAAATATTGTGCATTTGACTGTGAAAAACACGCTGCTATTGCTTTAAGACAGTAGTTTCAGCACATCACTCTCAGCACTAGAGCTAGTCATGATGAACTAGATAAACCTCAGATGAAGCTGTTGTGTGTTTCTATGCTCACACACACACACACACACACACACACACACTCGCACACGTGACTGAAGTGTTTCTTCTCTCAGATCAGGACAGCAGAATTCATCACATAGCTCTGTTCTCCTCAATGGGCGTCTGCTTCGTCTTGCTGGTTTTCGTCATATACTTCTACCGAAGGTACATCAGCATCCTCCTCATCCTCATCACTCTCAGCAGTCTTCTTTACAGGAATCAGTCACTTGAATTCATGTCCCGTGTTTGATGTGTGTCAGATATCAGCGTCAGGGGATGCAGGCGCGCTACAGCATGGGTCTGGAGCAGGATGAGAGCTTCATTCCCGCTGGAGAATCTCTGAAGGATCTGATCGAACAGTCTCAGAGCTCCGGCAGCGGATCAGGACTCCCTCTGCTGGTCAGACACTCACATCACCACATCAGTCCAGTCTTAACCTTCCACACAAACCAGGAAACTCCATTCTCTTTTACATAGCTCAATTTCAATTATTTTGATTCAGATGTGTTTAGTCTCTGTAACAGTGGAATCATTTAGAATTATAATGTTGGAATTATTATTTGATCATATCAATGATAATCAACAGAGGTCAGTTGCTTTAGACTAGTATTACTGTTAAGTTAGTTTTCAAATTTTTTAATCAGCTGTATAAAAATTATAATTTGAGAACAAAAAGACTGATTGTCCGTTTTTGATTATCTACAACTTTTATTATTATTATTATTATTATTATTATTATTATTATTATTATTATTATTATTATTATTATTATTATTATTATTATTATTATTATTATTATTATTATTATTATTATTATTATTATTATTATTATTATTATTATTATTATTATTATTATTATTATTATTATTATTAATATATTATATTTTAGTCAAACATAACATTTATAACAACATTATATGATTAAAAAATTAAACTGAAAAATACCAGTTTAATTTGTTCATAAATGTTTTTGTCTGCTGTAAAATATTTGACTAAAAATAATATAAATATACACACTTATAAAAAAAAATTAACTGACAACTATACAGAACTTTGAAAAATTAAAAAAAAAAAAAATCTATTTTTACTGTATTATACTGTCTATTTACTGTAATACTTAAGCCATGTTTTCCCATAATTTTTGTGTTTTCAGTTTAATTTATAAGTATAAATATATAGTTTTTATATAAATATATATGTTAGTATATATTTATTGTTTTTAGTAAAATATTTTACTGTATATTAAAAAACATTTATTAAAAGTCATACTTAAAATTGAATCTGAAGACACCTTGAACCATCCAAGATAAATTACTGATGGTAATGTTTCTGCTGAGGTTAAAGTAATCAGAAGATGCAGAAATCAGTTCAGGTCATAAAATGCCAGCTAACAGATACATTTTATTGGCTCACCAAAGTCAATTTTGACTCTCGTTTGGAGTGTTAATTTTGGACTCCTTATAGAACACCCACATACCACATGTGGAAGTGAAAGTGTGCAAGTAGCTGTAGTAGTAAATGTTTATACTCTTGCTGAATTTCCAAGTTTTGCTGATCTAGTAACACGTCACATCAGACGCTGCGGTTTGGTGTTAATGTATCCCATTATCTCCTCTGCAGGTGCAGCGAACCATCGCCAAACAGATCCAGATGGTGAAGCAGATCGGGAAGGGCCGTTACGGCGAGGTGTGGATGGGCCGCTGGAGGGGCGAACGGGTCGCCGTCAAGGTCTTCTTCACCACAGAAGAGGCCAGCTGGTTCAGAGAGACCGAGATCTACCAGACCGTCCTGATGAGACACGAGAACATCCTGGGTAAGGAAGCTCCTGATTAGTGGTAAACCGATTTTGGATTTTTCAATGCAAGCCGGCCATCGCTCACCGAGACCTGAAGAGCAAAAACATCCTGGTGAAGAAGAACGGCACCTGCTGCATCGCTGACCTCGGGCTCGCCGTCAAATTCATCAGGTACAGCAGCTAATGCATCTGTGGCCTTTATAACGTTATTACATTAGACTGATGTTAGACAGATAATTAGCCAAGCTTAATTTTAGATTTAATTTTAGGACATGTTACAGATTATGTAATGGACCATATCATTTTTCTTGTGATTTATGTGTTTTATTGATTTGTGTTTTGTGGGGGGGGGGAAACAATACACAGGCATTTGATTTTATTTATTTTTAGACAAACATTACAGTTATATAAACTGTATAAAATCTATAATTGCATGTTATGATGTTATTTTTATAAACGAATAAAGAAATTATACAAAAGTATTAACATTTTTATGTATATAAATATTAGCATATTTAGTGTTGAATTTTGTGAAATATAATTTTTTGAAACGTAAGATTTATATCTACCATTAGTATCACTTGTCAGCCAAAACACAAAAAAGTGAAATGATACAAAACTATAAAATGTAGAGTTTTATATTTATATATATATATATATATTTGACCATAACCACAACCACATAACCCACATCACACATCAGACTATGCATCAAATGGTTGGTTTAACAATTCAAATATAAGTGCTCCGCTGCTAGATTTGAGCTGTCAGGATCTGATTGTTTTCTGTAGTCCTCACAGCCTTTGTAGACTGCATTAGTGGCTGTCCACTTTTCCAGCACTCAGTTCCTTCGGGTGAAAAATGCATCGGTCAGTGTCGAGATTTTGGGTTATTTGGCTTTTCACAAAGTGCTTGTTTCAAAACAATGAAAGGATATACACTTGTATGTGTTTATTTTATTGCACTTCCTATATGCAATGTATTTAAAGTGTAAGTCATTTGTAATAATTGTATTTATTGATTTGACCCTATTCCCCAATCTCATAAAAAAAAAAGTACTAAGTAAAGAGTTGTGAAGCTGTGAACCAAACCAAACCAAACCAAACCAAACCAAACCAATAAAGCAAGCAGCTGTGGGATGAATCACAACATTACAAATGTTGATTTGAAGTAAAAAAAAAAAAAAAATAATAATAATAATATATAACTAAATAAATTAAATCAAAAATAAAAACTACAGTAAATAAAAATGTAAAAAAAATGGAGAAAAGGATACCAGACTGTGAAGTTAATGAATGTAATGAAGGATCGAAGTACAATCCCATGAAGCACTGCAAATGAGATAAAAATAGAGCAATATAAGAGTGTTGATATAAAGACTTTATTATGATATGTGAGTGGGTGGAGCTACAGCACTGTGTGGGCGGGATTAGCTTGTTTTGATTTCTGTGATTGGTGGGGATTTTTGCGCAGACTCATTAATAATGTAGTTGTTCTGCTGCTGAACCCAATTATTTTTCAGTAAGTTGAAATAATGTGGGTTGATGGCTTCAACAGAAGCGTATGCAAGCGATGAGTAATGTTGCAGCTCACAGCAGGTAACATGTCATCTTTCATACAGTGAAATAATAGCTAAACAGTTCAAATGTTGTGATATTATTGATCAGAGTATGTTGTGTGGTTACAATTTTTTTAAGTGTTTTATGTAGACACTTGTGTTTAGTAAACAAGATGACTAAAGCATACTGAAAATATACAGTAAAAATAGTGAGCTAGACTGTAAGAAAAAAACGTTTTATGAGAAAATTGTATTTTGAATTTTTTTGCTTTGAAAAAGTCACGTGTTACTTGCTGTTTGTTAGGTTTTATTATTATTTGTGGATCTCGCTAGCAATTTGAGTGCAAAAGGTTTGTATACCTAATTTGTTTTATTAAGTGTATTAGAAACCAGGGGCCTTGTTTATAAAATGTTGCGCAGAAACATCCTAAATTTGATCTTACAGTCATCTCTGAAATCAATGACTCGCAAATGATCTTGAACTTGCGTGCAACTGAATGGTTTCAGCTCTCTGCCTTGCAAACGAATCCTAATGAATGTCATTAACGTATAAAAGAGCACCAGTCATCGTCCAAATCCTTTCATTTAGAACAGCTAAGCACTTTTTCACATCAAAGGCATTTTTCCAAATATGAGCGTTGGTGTGGATTTAAATGCACGCACTTGAGATGTAACGGTATAGAAATGATCACGGTTATCAGTATCATCACGGTATTGTTAAAATATGCTGGAAATTTTCAGAAAGTACCGACACATAAATCGTTTCAAGTTTTGTAATTATAATCATCAAACAAAAAAAACAAAAACTTAAACAATAACATGACCAATGATGTCTGGGTTTTAAATGACAGCATGACTGAATCTAATAGCATGTACGAAATGTTCCAATAAAGCTTTGGAGAAGTTTCATAAAAAAGGTAAACCTGGAGCAGCAGAATTACAGCTGTCTACCGTAACCTCCTGCACAAAGCAGCGTTGTGATTAAAACACTACTTTATTAGGTATTACATAGAGCGAAGATGAAAACAAAATGCCATCAAATCTTTTCTGAAGACAGAACCTTCAGAGGTACATTCATTTAATTCATTCATTAATATATTCATTTGTATAATTCCCTTAGCGCTCTTTTAAAAATGCTCTTTTATCATGATTTATGGTCAAACCGGTAATCGTCCCATCCCTAGCACACACACTCTGTTCCGAGTATTTTATCAGCAGAAGTGTAAAGGTGATTCAGAGGAGAAAGTTATGAACAATGAATCACTCACAAAAGAATCATTGGCAGTAAACAGATGCTGTGTGTGGTCCTGCAGGGATCGTGGAGGAGTATCAGCTGCCGTATCACGACCTGGTGCCGACCGACCCGTCCTACGAGGACATGAGGGAGGTGGTGTGCGTCAAGAGACAGAGACCCTCGTTCCCCAACCGCTGGAGCAGCGATGAGGTACAGCCGCGCTCTACTAAACTGGCTCTGGTTCCTTGCTTAACTCTATGAAGCTTCTGAATCATATTTAATATGCAAATGTCCTGAAAATGTGACAGCTACGTTTATGTGTACTCCATGTGTTGTTGTGTGATTAATAGTTTAGAGTTGCAGTAAAAGCTCTTTTAGTGTAATTGTACAATCGTCCAGCTTCAGCTGGAGCTTCTCGTGTCAAATCTGGACTGATTTTGATCAAGTAAAGGTCAGAATAACTGCAGTAATATCTCCAGATGAACTCTTACTGGACTGAAGCAGCTCAGCTTTACTTGATTCTCCATCAATCATGTTTTAGAGTCTCAAATCTGATCCTCAGGATCTTTTGAGGAGCGTTTGTTTCCAGAAGCTTTACTTTCACTGTTCCTCAGCGGAGGAATGATCTTCACAAGCCTCCAGAACATCTCACATCTTCTGAGGAGCCTTTATTTCTTCAGCTCTCGATCACTGCATTATATGTTTGGAGCATTTCACTCTCATTTTACTAAGACTCATTATTGTACATTTGTGACCCTGGACCACAAAACCAGTCATAAGTGTCATTTTTTTTATGAATAAATAATATTTCCATTGATGTATGGTTTGTTAGGATAGGGCAATATTTGGCTGAGATACAACTATTTGAAAATCTGGAATCTGAGGGTGCAAAAAAATCTAAATATTGAGAAAATCATCTTTAAAGTTGTTCAAATGAAGTTCTTAGCAATGCATATTACTAATCAAACATTAAGTTTTGATATATTTACGGTAGGAGATGTACAAAATATCTTCATGGAACATGATCTTTACTTAATATCCTAATGATTTTTGGCATAAAAGAGAAATGTGTAATTGTGACCCATACAATGTATTGTTGGCTATTGCTACAAATATCCCCCAGCGACTCAACACTGCTTTTGTGCTCCAGGGTCACAAATAGAAAGATGAGAGATACATATGTAGTTTTATGTAGGTATGTGCTATAAATGTGTTATTAACTGACATTACAAGCATCAGAATTGTCAATTTTTGAGCAGCATTATATAACAGCATGTGCATGAAATTGCTCTTAGTTGAAGTGTCTGAATAGAATGGATAGGTTTGCTGTGAGTATATACGAGTCAGAAAAGCCTTGTTAGACAGTCAAGTCATGCATGTGGCACATTCTTTAATCCAAAGCAATTTGCATGAGAGGAACAAGAGCACAGAGCAGACAGAGAGAGCAAACAGACCAGAGGAGTCAGGAGTGAGCTTAAAGAGAAAATAACAGAAATGGAGAAAGAATGAGATAAAACTACTTGTGTAGATCAATGTTTGCAAACCCTGTTGTTGGAGGCACAGCAGCACTTCTGAAGAGCTGGTAATGAAGCACACCTGATTAAACTGGTCAGCTAATTATTAGAGAGTCCAAGAGGCAAGATGGCTGGGTCTCACAAAACACATCCAAAATGAGTCTTGCTGGAGAAGAGTGGTGTAAGTGGATGTTGAAGGAAAGCAGCACATCTGGATCTCGCATGAAGCTGTGTAGTTGAGCTGGTGGATGGTACAAGACCAGAGGAAGAAACGTGGCAGGATTAGCTCTAGTCATGGCAATGAGCTGAAGAGCTGCAAATGAGCTTCACAGAAATAGAAACAGGAAAGTTGCAAAAGCAATGAAGTGAAATGCATAAACTTGGAGAGGAATTGAAGTGAAAGCGCAAATAGGAGAATTCAATATAGTGCTGAACTGATTGAAGCTGCTTATATACTGCCTCACCAACCCCAGCACAGCTGATCCACCTCCATTAACCAATCACTGCACACCAGCACACAACTCACACTCCTATTGGCCAGCTCGCCAACCACTAACAATTAACCAATCCTAACTCTCACTGCTGATCTAACCAGTCTTAGTTCTGTATCATTGGCTACGTGTCCATGCACAATTTTTGACTGAATTCATTCCGATTGATGAATCTGAATGTAGTGTTTACACTACAAGTGATCGGGTTGATGTGCACGTTTATGTGTCGCAAGCTTCAAATCTGAATGTTTTTTTTTATATGCGCGCACGGCACAAATATAGAGTTTCTCACTGTTTGCACATAATAACCACTCTCCCACACAGTTTATTTATTTGTTTTTAACAGCAGAATGAATATTTAGCCATTTATGGATAAATATACATATAAACCGCTGTGCCGTGCTGCTCATATTTATCACACAGTAAAAATGCCCCTCCCGCGCCCAAAACGGGTTGCCTGTGGATGAGTATCCAAAACAAGGACTGGTGGGAGGTTGTCCTGCTCCACTTCACAGTTGCCGAGTGAAAGGAGAGTTTTATAATGACAGACACACTTTATTCAAAAGGAAGAGCCGCTCGTTCCGCTCATCACGCTATTTCTGCGTCATTGCACATGCGCAGTTCTCTCAGTTTCGGGGTTCAATCCGATCGTCTCAATCGTATTAGAAAAGGAATAAACCAACCCCTTCAATCTGATCGAATTAAGGTGTTTACATGAAGGTTTTTCAGTTC